CTGTAATAAATCCCCCCCCCCCCTTCCAGATGCCATTGCAACCTTGTAACCAGATAATTAATGGTATTCACTTCACCTGTCAGTGGTCCTAATGTTATGGCTGATCAGTGTGTGTATGTATATACTGTATATTACAGTTACACTATTCTTATTCCATGCAATGAATGCCCCACCATCATTTATCCTGAACTATATAAAGATTCCACATCTGCACAGTGAAATCATCTCTGCAATTGTGTCAGCGCGGTGTGATATCTGGGGCCTCGCTAATGATCTGTTGACAGACTTGGCCGCCAATCCTGATAATAAATATGTTGACAGTTTTGTAAATGGCTGTGTAAATTAAGGGGCTAATTTATATATGATGTACCGTCAGAGTCACACACTGACAATTATCAAATGCCTACACAATGCAATGAATTGACTCGGTATTCTGTCTTTGTGCTGCTATAATTGGAAAGAACGTTTAATCTTCTTGTGGGTTTTGATAGATCTGGAAAAAAGCTGTGGGTAGCCTACAGCCTTTCACCTTGGGGGGGAAACAACACACCCCAGCATGCACAAACACTCACATAATGCCCAACAACTTATTTTTTTCAAAGTAGTGAAATTTTAGTTTACGTAAGAATCTGAATAAATAGTTTAAATCTTGATAAAAGTTCAGTCTTACTTGTAAAAAAAATAAAGAAACCTTCTCTTTTTCCACAACTCACAGAAGTGTTTAAAGCTGAAGCCTAATCTGCTTTTTTTGCCTTCCTTGGTTCCTTCAACATTCCCCCCATGTCTCATCAATATGCTAATTACATTATTAAATACAATGTTTATTGTTTTCATTACATATTATATTTCAGATCCAGTGATGTCATCACTAAGTACTTCCCTATGAAATGTAGGCAGATCATGGATGGTGGGAGGAGCTGGCAGGGGGCTGTACATAGCTTCCTCTGAGGAGCCCTCAGCCCTAATGCAAGCAGTGGGCTGGCACTTGGGAGGAGTTATGCAAATATCAAAATGGTGGGATTGTGTGGGTGTCAGTCTGGAGGAGTGGGCGTTCCTTGGCAGGCTGTATTTGCATGCGGAGCACCCTAGGTAACTCCCACATGTGACTCTGAGCCTCCATGATTAAAATAACTGAAATCCAATGAATAAAAGGGGCAGAGGCTGGGTAGGAAAGGGCTAGATCAAGGTTGGGCAACTCCAACCTTTCAGCTGTTGTGTAACTACAAGTCCCTTGAGGCAATGCAAGGCTGACAGTTACAGGTCTGACTCCCACAGGCAGAGGCATTTTGAGATTTGTAGTTAGAGCACAGCTGGAGGGTCGGATTTGCTCAGCCCTGGGCTAGATGGTGCTGAATGTCTTCCAGCCAGGAAATGAGGTGGGCTCTATCTGACTTGCTGCAGCTTCTAATATCCATTTGTGTTTGATCTAGGTATGAGTGATCGCAAACAAGCAATTCATCATCAATTAAAATATTGAACAGTGCAACCCATACGGCATTGACTGAAAATTCAATTTATCAGAAACCATGATGAACACACAGATATTAGTCTGATCGATCAGAAGCAATTGATAAGATTGATCAACTTTACCAGCCTTGAAATCAATTAAACGCTCGCTAAGTCGATCAAACGGAGGGTCTGTGGTATACAGCTCTTGATCAGTTAGGTCATTATAGTTTAATCGAATGATCGTTTGACCCACTCTTATACCCACGCAACTCCATTAAATAAATCAATTCTAGCAGAATCCCTGCAGTGTTTATCTTTGGTGCACAGACTACAAATCCTCTATCCAATGGTGGCCAGCCATGTGATCAATGTCTAGGCATCTACTGAGGGTAAGGATCGACCTATCAGCAGGGAGGAGTGCTAAAATTGTTCCAAGACACATTTAGTTGAATGTTGTTTGTTTGTAGATGGCTGAAGATACAACGATTAGCCATAACATGACCACCCACCTAATATTGAGTAGGTCCTCCTTTTGCTGACCCATCTAGGCATGGACTCCACTAGACCTATGAAAGTGTGCTGTGGTATCTGGCACCAAACTATCAGCAGCAGATCCTTTAAGTCCTGTGAGTTGTGGGGTGGGGTCTCCATGGATCGGACTTGTTTTTCCAGCACATCCCACAGATGCTCAATAGGATTAAGACCAGGAGAATGTAGGGGCTACGTCAACACCTCAAACTCTTTGTTGTGTTCCTCCAACCATTCTTGAACCATGTGTGCAGTGTGCATTATCCTGCTGAAAGAGGCCACTGCCATCAGGGAATACTGTTTCCATGAAGGGGTGTACTTGGTCAGTAACAATGTTTAGGTCGGTGGTACGTGTCAGAGTAACACCTCACATGAATGGCCGGACCCGAGGATTCACAAGTTGAACATTGCCCAAAGCATCACACTGCCTCCGACTACCTATCAGTGGTCACAATGTTATGGCTGTTTGGTGTACTCTTTAAATAAGTCGGGGCTGAGACTTTATTTTTAAGTCATTCATAACTTATTTTATGTAATTAGCACAAATTATAATTTCTTAAAATGGGACTTAAGAGGCTTTTTCCCATAGTGCACTGCAGGGTTACTCCCTGTGAAGTCTTGCTTCTTAAGCAGCACTTTGAGAGAACACAATCTAGACTAATTAATTAAATGACTAATTAACATGGAAAAAAAAAACAACCAAAGTTCCAGCCTTTGATTTACTTTAAATTAGAATCCCATAACTCAGCAAATTAACATTTGATTCTTTTTTTTTCAACTAACTTAGTGTTAGTAGTATCACTTCCTGCAGCAGCAGCCAGAGGTTGGCCTGGGTCATCAGGTCAAATCCGGGCATTTAGTTGGCCTGTTCAGCGAACCCTGAACAGGTAAAGTTCAAAGTGAACCTGCATTGACGCAAACTGGAAACTCATCCTTACTTAACATGGCACACAAGGCTTATTGCTGGATGCTAAAGACCTAAAACTGAATAATTTGGCAAGTCAGAGGCGTACCATGAGGCGTACCATGAATTTGGCAAGTCAGAGGCGTACCATTCAGCTTACCATGAGGTGCCAAAAAAAAAATCAAAATTCAGTAGCAAAATCTTCATAGCGTATTCCATTCCCGCACTCCCTGATAA